CTCCCCTTTATACATCATAACAAACCTAAACAGACCTTTATCACTTACTTAGGCTTTCTCATTTTTTTCTATTTTGAAAAATACCTCCATTCCCATATCCTTTTAGCATGTTTTAAATTCTCATTTTCTTTTTTGTAAATAATTATGAGACCAAATAGCATTAACAAATAAATTTTCAATCTGTTTCTGCTGTGAGCATCCCGGGGATGCTAAGCAATGCTTATTCCCTTTTAAGGTTCTAGTGAGCCAATGTTTGATTAAAGTTTTACTGGGGAACCAATGAATTTATTCAGTTTACTTACCAAGATAACTGAGGGGTTGCTGAGGTGTATATGACCTGAGGGTATGCAAACTGGAAAGCCTTTACCCAGTATGGGTCATGCCTCACATAGGAAGTTTTTTAAAAAAAATTATGTGTATGAGCGTTTTGCCTGCATCTATGTAAGTTCACCACATGTATGCCTAGTCCCTGCAGAGGCCAGAAGAGGGCATTGGGTCCCCTGGAACTGGAGTTAAGGATGGCTGTTAGCTGCCATGTGGGTGCTGGGAACCGAACTCAGGTCTTCTATAAGAGCAGCTGGTGCTCTTCACTGCTGAGTCATCTCTCCAGCCCACACATTGGAAGTCTTAATAAGAAAGCTAAATTCAGAAATGATTTTTCTGCCAGTGCATGGCCCTCTAAATGCTGTTAGCATTCCTGATGGCTTGGGCTTCTCAGGTTTCTATCTAGAAGCACAGGATCACATAGGTCAAGCTTTTAGGTCGTACCTGCTTTGAACTCAGGGCCTAGTGCATGCTAGGCAGGTGTTCTACTATTGAGCTATGTTCCTAGCTCATAGGTCATCCTTTCCATCTTCTAGTATATTTAGTAAGATTTCATTGAATGAGAGGAGGGTTTTTTTTTTTTTTCCGAATGGATAGCTACCTGAACTGAAATGAACCAGAAACATCCGCAGTTATTATTATTTGGTTCTTGCAGTATATAAATACTTTCATAGTCCCACTTGTCTATACAGAAATCCAAAGGTGTAGATTCATTGCCTGTGGACACTGTTACTTCATAGCTCTCGTCTGTCTTTGTTTTAAGGGAGAAAAATCAGGGTGTCAGGCCAAACACTGTGCAGTTTTGGTTACCTGGCTATGGACTGATACGCTTTCTGGCACACTGAAGTATAGTGATATCCCAAGCGTTGACATGCCTGGGCATGTGCTGTTTCATTTTCCTTTACTGTCTTCCCTATAATTTCTCCCTTTAAAAGGATGCTGGTGGAGCTGAAGTGATGGCTCAGCAGTTAAGAGCACTGGCTACTCTTGCAGAGAACCTGGGTTCAGTACCCTGCACCTACCCGGTGGCTAGCAACTATCAGAAATTCCAGTTCCAGGGGATCTGACACCTTCTTCTGGCCTTTGTGGGCATTGCATGTATGTGGTGTACTTGTAGAGATCTAGGTAAAACATTCATACACATAAAATAAAAATAAATACAAGTAAACAAACAAAAAGAGGTTTTTAAAGTCAGGCTTGGTGGTGCATGCCTTTAATCCCAGCACTCAGTATGTAGTGGCAGGCCAGTCTCTGTGAGTTCAAGGCCAGCCTGGTCTACATAGCAAGTTGCAAGCTCCAGGTCAGCTGGGGCTACAGGGAGACCCTGTCTCAAAAAGACCAAAACAAAACAAAACAAAAACCCCAGATTTTAAATGATGGTAGCTGCCTGTTAGTTTAATATTTAATCTGCGTGGCATCCTTTCTACTACCTTTAGGATTCTTGTTGGAGAGGGAGTAGGTGGGCAGGCTATGTTTCTCTTAGTCACTTCTGGCTTCAGCTTTCTTTTGCTTAAGATCCTGTACTAGGCATTGTGACAGCTCATGACTCTGTTCTCTTCCTATATTTCCCTAAAGCACTGTGGATTCAAGATTCAGTGTAGCACATTGCTCCAAAAACTTGGTAGTTTAAAGCAACAGGAAATGTGTAGTGTTTTATCTGTTTTTGTGCATGGAGAATTTGTAGTCTTGTTGTATGTCACAGCTCAGCTGTGTGGTTCTGACTCGAGGTCTTACAAGCTTGACAGGGGCTAGAAGATCAGCTTTCAAGATGGCTTACTTAGCGGTGCTGGGGTAGCAAGAGGCCTCAGCTCCAATCTGTGGATTCCTTTTTTTCCTCATGTGAAAAAAAAAAAAATCTAGTTTTCTTTTGGTCTTTAGCCATCTGGATCATGCCCTGAGAAGCTGACCTTTTCTTTTTCTGGCTTAAAAGGACCTTTAAAACTGAATGGGATAGCATGTGAAAGCTTTGAAATCCTTCAGGAGAGAAGGTCCAGTGAAAAGGTGGATTCTGTATCTCACAGCTTCACAGTGTGTGCTTTACCTGGCTGGTCTAATTGATAAAACGTGAGAGAGAGGCAGTAGCTTTGCGAAGACAAGGTTTAGATTTTAGCATTTTAGCTCCTAGATTCAATTTTTTAGAAAATCTGCAACATCTCTGAGAATTTTTCTTCTTATGGTGCTAGGGGTCAATATTTGAGAAATTTCCAATAGTGTGAAAGGAGAAGGTCCTATCTACCACAATAGATCAAAAGGACTAGAAAAACTTTGAATTTTGGGGAAAATGAGCAATTTTAATATTTAGATGTAGTTTTAGTTCTGAGAATGTGAATAAAGTAAAATAAATCTTTTTTCAAAAAATATTTTTATTTTATGTGTATGAGTGTATTGTCTGCATGTGTGTAAATGCACCTGTGTTGTGCAGTGCCTGTGGAGGAGGTCAGAAGAAGGCATCAGATCCCCTGGAACTGGAGTTACTAATGGTTATTAGCTGCCATGTGGGTGCTGGGAATTGAGCCCAGGTCCTTTGCAGGAGCAGTCAGTGCTCTTAACCACTGAGCCATCTCTCTAGCCCTTAAAGTATAATAATTTTTAATCTTTTAATTATAGATATTCAATAGACTGCTAATTTAAAAAATTAAAAATAAAACTGTCACATTACTTAAGTCTACTACCTTTTCTAATTTTTAGAAGAGTTTGCCTATGAGTTTTATAGTTGTTGTAAACAACTTAAAAATTTTTTTTTTTTGCTCTTTTTGAGACAGGGTCTCTCTGTAGCCCCAGTTGTCCTGGAACTCACTATGGAGACCAGGCTGGCCTTGAACTCACAGAGATCCACCTGCCTCTGCCTCCCAAGTGAACAATTTAAATATTTTTAAAGCATGTTTTACCTGAAAACTATTTGTATGCTTTTTTAAATTTATGAAAATAATTGATATTCGGTATGTTATGATGACATTTATAAAGCTTTAAAACATACTTGTCTTAATCCATTTGGGCTGCTATAACAAAATATCATAGCCAGGGAGCCTTTATTCAAACCCCAGTACTACCACCACCACAACAAAATCCTCGACTCATTTCTCGCAGTTCTGGAGGCTGTGAAGTCGAAGGTCAAGGCAGCAGCAAATGTAGTATCTGGTTAGGGCCTGATACACAGAAGGCAATTGTTCATGTGTCCTTACACATTAGACTTAAGGGAAGAAGGCTGTCTTGAGGGCTCTTTCTTAGGGGCCCTCGTTCCATTCATCAGAGCTCTGTGTTCCCGACCTAATTTTCTAAAAGCTCCACCTCTTGACACCATTTCAATGATGATTAGATTTCATACGAATTCTGGGGGACACAAACATACAAACCATGGAAACACCAAGTTCTTTGCATGAATATGTAAGATTTACTTTTCATCTCCTGGACACATTGCTATTTCTACAGACATTTCACTGTATGATTAATGTAGCAATTTGGAAAGACTATTGCAAACATGACTTTAAGGGTAGGCGCTTAAGAAACAATGAACTTAATACTTGAACTATGTGTACCTTTTTCTAGGGAGCTTCAAGTTAAATCAGCTGCAGAATTCAGCAGGGAAAAATAAACCGGGTTATCCATGTCTCAAGGGTACAAAGAAATAGAACAATCATCTCCTTTGGACCCACCTTCTCTGTGTGTGAAGGCAAGGAGATTATTTTACTTTTAGTTTCATTTAAAGGAAATTATTTACAAAATATACATGTGTGACAGTTTTGTGCTTTATTTTTCTACAGGACTCAGTTGCTGGAATTGTCAATTCTTCCAATTTATATGTACATTTCTCTTCCACTATGAGCAGAGCAACTGTGTTGCACATCTGTCTGGCTTTCTGTAGCCTTCTGTTCCTCAGTTTTACCACACAATGTCTGGCTTTCCCAAAAGTGGAAAGGAGGGAAATAGCAGATGCTTATGCAGAAAAAGGGCAGTCTGAGAGGATGGACATAGGTGACCAAGAAAACAGTTCCATTACTCCAGAGCACAAGCCCCAACAGATGTCCTCTGACGATCCAACGGTACTGTCTGCAAGACCATCAATGACACCATTAAGTGGGCTCCTACATCCTAACAGTCCTGGTCTTCACTTTGCCACTGAGCCAGTGGTCCCAGCCAGGGAAGAAGCACACGGATCCAGCCAGCTAGAGAAAACGTCTCCTGAACACAGACTTTCCAAGGCCATGCTAACCATCGCTGTCACTACAACTGCTTCTCTAAATTCTGACCAGGAGGGACCCTTTAGCAGTTCCAGCATCCAGCCCCCTGTAGAAGAGATCACAGAAGCAACTCAAGGTTTCCTGAAGTACACAGATAATCAGTTGTTTGCAACTGAAAGTCAGGAAGGAGTTAGCTTGGGACAGTCACCTTCATCTTATATAAATACTAAAGAAATGCTAACCACCGAACCAAGGATTGAGAAAGTTGAAGGTCATGTAGTGCAGAGGACAACTTCTTTTCCTGGTGTTGATTTCACAGCAGACACAAAGCCTGACGGGAAGGCCTCACAGACTACACCTCTTAATGTCCAGGCCACTGCCACCAAGCACTTGCTGGCAACTTCCGAGTATGTCCTGAGTGTTGAGCCAGAAACTGACAGCCTACTGGGGGCCCCCCAAATCACAGTGAGTGTCAGCACAGCTGTTTCAGTTGCCTCTCTCCTAAGTGATGAGTGGGATGACACCAAACTTGAGAGTGTAAGTCAGATAAGGCCTCCAGAGCTGGGGGACAATGCAGAGACTCAGATGAAAACAGAACCATCAGAGACAACATATGCAAGCCCTGAGGGCACTGAAGGGGGCCCCACTTCCACAGAGGCTGCAGAGGTGTCTCCAGGGCTTCCTGAAGGGGAAACACACGTGGGGACAGCTCTGCTAATTGCACCAGAGGACGAGCAAGCACTGGACGAGAGATCTCCAGTCTTTACCCATCTAAGTTCCTTTACTCCCTTGAGTCTGACAGAAGACCCTGAAGTTTCAGTTGTGAACCTGTTCCCAAGTACAGGAGGCTCCACAGCATCCATGGAGGAGGACAGTGCCACGATTTTCTCAGAGACGACAATTTCCCTCTCTCAATATGAGTCTGAGTCATATCAGCCAGTGGGAAATGTGTTGAAAGGTAAGAAAAAAACGTAAAAGAAAGAAAACAACAAAATCCCATCAAGTTTTGCTTAATTTGGAATCTTTCAGTTTGGGTTCTTTTTATTTTATTTTTCCTTCTTTGATCTTTTTGAGATAGGGTCTCCCTGTAGCCCCAGCTGTCTTGGAACTCACTATGTAGACCAGGCTGGCCTTGAACTCAGAGATCTGCCTGCCTGCTGGGACTAAAGGGATGCACCACCACACCTGGCTCTTGATTTTTTTTTTTCGAGGCAGGGTCTTGGTATATAGCCCAGGTTACCTTTAATTCACCATCTTCCTGCCTTGGCTTCCTGTCTCCTAACTACTAGGACTGTAGAGCTGTGCCACTATGCCTGCTGGTTTCACTTATTTGTTTGCTTTATAAATTTATTTACTTATTTATTTGTTTATTTAAATTTGTGACAGGGTCTCACTATGAGGACCAGGTTGGTCTCAAGCTTATGGCTACCCTCCTGCCTTTGCCTGGGTGATAGAATTATACACCTGACTTTGGTTTTATTTTTTGATTTTATTTCTTAGAACTTGAGTTACTCAAGTTTTAATGAGTATTCAAAGAAAAAGTATTCAAAGAAATGGTGTATTTTATATAAAAAAAATACCCAAATATAACCCTTACACAGAAGCCAATAGTCTTCACCTGGGAACAATTTTGCACTCACACCCCTTCCTTGGGACAGTTAGCAATGTTTGGAGATGCTTTTAGTTGTTACATTGAGGGTTGCTGCTGACATCTGCTGGGCAGGGACCAGGCATGATTCAGAACACCCTACACCTGTAGACAGTCTCCAGCAACGGTTGTTTAATCCAGTCTATCAATAGCATCAAAACTCTGTGTAGCCAAGTATTTTTCAAACATTTTATCTTGAAAGTATATAAATACATAATATGAAATAATAGGCTATGTTTAAATAGTGTAATGACAATGTTGGATACCTATTTACACATCATTGCAAAATATTTTCACATCTTTCATATTTCTTACAGAAAAACTTTAGGTAAATATATTTATCTCATAGTATTTCAAGAACATTTAAATTTATTTATTTTATGTTTTTTTTTTTTTTTTTCCTTTTTGAGACAGGGTCTCCCTGTAGCCCCAGCTGGCCTGGAACTCATTATGAAGACCAGGCTGGCCTTGAACTCACAAAGATCTGCCTGCCTCTGCCTCCCAAGTGCTGGGATTAAAGGCGTGCGCCACCACGCCTGGCATATTACTCACTTTTCTGTTGCAGTGATAGAAACACTGACCCAAGCAATTTATAGAAGGAAGAGTATATTTGAGCTTACGGTTCTAGGGGAATTAGAGAGGAGGAGAGGAGGCATGATGGCTGGAGGTGGCTGGAGCAGGAGCAGCAGAAGCTAAGCACTCACATCATCATGGCAGGCACAGGAAGCAAGAGAGCAACTGGAGATCCTGCAAGGCTTAAGAACTCTCTAAGCCCACCCCCAGTGACATGCTTCCTCCAGGACAGCCACACCTTCTAAAACCTCCTAAAACAGCGCCACCATCTGGGGACAAGATATCCAAATACTTGGAGCCTATGGGGGACATTTTCATTTAAACCCCCACATCTGTGACTATTACAAGCTGAAAACCCTGATATTTTCTTTTGATGGATTTTTTTTTTCCTTTTCTTATGTAGTTTGTTACACAACAGCATCAGGAAGCAAAAGCTTTGTATGACATGTATGTGCTCATTTCAGATTGTTTTGGAGGGCTATGGATATAGTGCGATGGTAGAGTGCCTCCCTAGAATGCAGGAACCCTTGGCTTTGATCCTCAGTACTGTGTAAGAGGTGAATAATCAGATTGTTTTGGAATGTTCACAGCTTATTAGCTTAGCTGGGTAACCCAGGAAATGGAAAATGCCAGATGTGTAATATGGCTTATAAAGTTTTGTTGGTATTTAATTAAAAGGTCATTTGATAACTGATGAAGGGAAGGTTAAATATTTTACATGCCTATTTTTGCTTTTGTTTTCAGAGATAGGATCTCATATAGCTCAGGCTGGTCTCTAACTAGCTGTGTAACCAAGATTGATCTTGAACTTCAAATTCTCTTGCCTCTACCTCCTGAGTACTGGGATTATAGGTACGCAATACCATGCCCAGCTTCTAATTCATTTTTTAAAGGATGAAAGGCCTGGTAAAGTGTAAATTTTCAAAAATTCTTCCAGAAAACGTTTTTATAAGTTTCTTTTAAAATGACATTAAGTGCAGCTGGCCATGGTGGTGCATGTTTTTAATCTCAGCACTCAGAGGCAAGTAGATCTCTGTGAGATCAAGGCCAGCCTGGCCTACATAGTGAGTTCCAGGCTAGCTGGGGCTACAGGGAGACCCTGTCTCAAAACAAACAAATGAACAAATGAACAAACAAACATACATGACATTAAGTGAGGTGGCCCATATAACCATGAAGCTACTAGCTATAACTAAACAAGAAATTTACTTCAATTTTTCATAACACTTATATTCCTGGAACATGAAGTCATATGGTCCCAGATTATGCATTATATCATTAAATCTATGATTTCTATATTCTAGACTTAGGTTAGTTTCTACAGATACAGGATGAAAAGTAAAATGGATTTGGTAATTATCATGTTATTTTGATTATCAAATATGCTCCTCAGTCATAATTACTTTGTTTAACTACTAATCTTTTAACAGGTAACCTCTTTATTCCAAACACATAGCACAATACTGGGTACAAGTAAATAGTAGTTATTCAGTAGATATCAGTTTGATGATTGATGAATGAAGACAGAGACTTATTTAGATTGAGACCATCAAATATAATTGTCTACCTTGCCCAAATGTCTACTTTCCCCAAATTCTTTGTAGAAAGAGAAATAGTCAACTTACTCCCTTAATTTTCTTTATTGCTATTTTAAAAAATATTTTTATTTTATACATATGTGTGTATTTCCTGCATGTATGTAAGTGTACTTGTGTCATACAATGCCCGAGGAGTCAGAAGAGGGTGTTGTATTCCCCTGGAACTGGATTTATGGATAGTTGCTTGCTGCCATGTGGGTGCTGGGAATTGAACCCAGGTCCTCTGCAAGAGCAGCCAGTGCTCTTAACTGCTGAGTCACTCCTCCAGTCCCCTTATTATTATTTTAAATTTTTATTTAATGTGTGGAATGTTTTACCTGCATGTATGTAAGTATACTACACATGTGCAATTCCTACAGAGACTAGAAGAGCGCATCAGATTCCCTGGAACTGAAGTTAAGCACAGTTAGCTGCCATATGGGTGCTGGAAATTGAACCTGGGTCTTCTGCAAGAGCAGCCAGTGCTCTTAACCACTGAGCCATCTCTCCAGCAACCTCATTTACTTTTGAATACAGTACTTTGTCATTAACTACAAGTTGTTTTAAAAGACAGATTTCTATTATTGACCACAGTAATTATAGAATAGTCACAATTTTTTCTACTCATTTTCTGGCGATTAACTTAAATGTCAATCATTTTAGGTACCAGGGACCACTGAGGATATGCAATGATTTCAAGGTGTGGGCATTATTAGCAGATAAGCCCCATTAGATTACAGCCAGCTTCCGATTCTTCAGCTGGTCCATTTGAAGATCAGACTTAAAGAAATCTAAGATGGGCTGGAGAGATGGCTCAGTGATTAAGAGCACTGACTGCTCTTTCAGAGGACTCAGGTTCAATTCCCAGCACCTATATGGTGGCTACGAACTGTCCCTAACTCCAGTTCCAGGGGAATCAGAAGCCCTTTTCTGACCTCCGTGGCATTGCATGACATGGCTACACTCACATACATGCAGGCAATACACTCATACACATAAAATAAAAATGATAAATAAAATATAAAATATCATATTCGTTTTTCTGTATGGAAAGCAGGAAGGGTCAGAGATGTTTTAGAATTTTTGATATTTTTTTAAAATTCCTTTCTTATTTCTGGCCTACTATAAATATACGCTGTGTGTACTCAATAAACGGAGCTTGATCAGAACACTGTCTTGCTCCCTTTCTTCGTGTTCCTTGTTTGTCATTCTTTCTAGGACCCCCACTCGTCGTGCCACTGTAGAAGTGTCCTGCGGGTCGGGACAATGTTTTAGAATTTTTGATATTTTTTTAAAATTCCTTTCTTATTTCTGGCTCTCGCTCTGCCCATCAGTTGTGTCTTGTTCATAGTGCCGTGCATTTTGGTGCTTCTTGTTTTTTCAAAAAATGATGAACATAGGCTCTCTCTGTATTAAAAATATTTCTCCCCAAACTGTTCATTACACTTTCAAAAGTGAGTACAACATGGAGAACAAATACTCTTTAAAGTGACAAAAGTTTATGGGAACTTGAGAGATGGCTCAGCAGTTAAGAACACTGCTTTTCTTGCAGAGGACCCAAGTCCAGTTCCCAGCACCCATGTCAGGCAGCTCACAACTATCTGTAACTTCAGCTCTGTTGCCTTCTGGCCTTCACAGGCCCCTGCACACACACACACACACACACACACACACACCCGGCTACACACAAAAACAAAATAAAATAACTGACATAAGTCTGTTTCTTCTTGTGGCAAAACAAGAGTGTTACCTGAGGTGCTAGAGACACTTCAGGCAACGGATCCTGCCTCTCAGGAGGTTTGCAGTCTTATTAGAGAATGAGAACAGAAAGGAAAGCTTAAATCACAGTACGAAGAGTAATAATGGAGCTCATATAAAAACCTTATCCCAAATTACTTTTTCCTAGAACCAGGTGTATTAATCTATCAGATGTAAAATTCTTTTCTGTTCAAAAGGAAAACCAAAGACTGGAGATGTAGCTCAGTGGTATAGTGCTTGCCCAGTATGAACACAGTCCTGAGTTCAGTCCCCAGCACCATAAAACTACCTACCTACCTACCTACCTACCTACCTACCTACCTACCTACCTACCTACCTATTTACCTACCTATCTGCCTACTTACCACAACTCAATCCAAACTGGATAAGTAACAAGAAAAAGAATTGCTCTTTACTGAGACACACACTATTTTAAAGAAAAGAAATCATTTTTGGGAAGGAAAATTTTGAAGTAATAAGATATATCAGGATGTCATCAATGGTGACATTAAAGAAACTTCATCAGTAATCCTTAGAATGTCATTTTTCATTCCATAACTTGCTGAACTTGCTAGTATTTATGATATTAAGTTTTGAGATGCTAAGATTTGAAATTAGGGAGTATAGCTCCTTCTTAAGAAGATCCTCAAAATTCTTTTTTTCTTTTCTATTTTTTTTTTTGAGGCAGGTTTCTCTTTAGCTCCAGCTGGCCTGGAACTTGCTATGTTGTAGGCTAGGCTGGCATAGATTTCACAATGATCCACCTGTCTCTGCTGGTATTAATGGCATGCACCACCACACCACCACACCTGGCTGATTCTCAATTTTTATTAGTAGTCTGTAATAATATATGGAGTTAATTATAGTGCTGTAAGAAGGGCAGACCTACGGCAGGTAACAGCAGACTTGATAGCTCTGTTTCACTCCCCTTTCAAGTCTAAAAGTAAATGCAGGAGCTGGAGAGAGGGCTCAGAGGTTAAGAGCTCTTACTGCTTTTGCAGAGGATGGGAGTTCAGTTCTCAGCACCCATATCAGGTGGCTCACAACTGCCTGCATCTTCAGCTCCAGGGCCTCTGATGCCCTCTTTTAGCCTCTGCAGGCACTGCACTCCTGTGCACACCATGCGCTTGGCACTGCATGTGAATGACGCATAACAGAAATTTTCTGAACACTAGTTATTGCAATTATTATTCTTTTATTTAAAGATGCCAACTTCCTTTTCCCTTCAGGTATACAAATGTGAAAGTTAATATAATAAAATTAATAAAATATTCCCGAGAATTTTTTAGATTTTTTAGTATAACTTAGTTCTGTGTAGTTTGTTAGTAGACCAAATCAGTTAATACTCAGATGTGTCTGAGAAGGAGCTCATCTGCTGATTTTCTTATTTATCTTTTTTACATATTATTTTAAACATTTTATTTATTATTTTTATTTTGTGTGTATGAGTGTATTGCCTGCATGTATGTAAGTGCAATGCCCACGGAGGTCAGAAGAGGGCGTGGGATTCCCCTGGAACTAGAGTTACAGATGGTTGTTAGTTGCCACATGGGTGCTGGGAACCAAACCTGGGTCCTCTGCAAGAGCAGCCAGTGCTCTTAACCGGTGAGCCACCTCTCCGGTCCTGATCTTACTTTGTTTTCAATTTTATTCTAGCTTTTTTTTTTAAAACGTTAACTTCTTCCCTTCCTTGTTCCTTCATTCCTTTGTTCTTCACTTCTTCCGTACTTCCTTTCTTGACTTTTTTTTTTTTCTTTCAGTCTTTTGAGACAGGATCTTCCTGTAGCCCCGGATGGCCTGGAACTTGCTATGTAGACCAGGCTGGCCTCTGCTCCCCAAGTGCTGTGATTAAAGGTGTACACCACTACAGCTGGCTTAACTTGTTTTTGTCTTAGTTTCACATCTTGCAAAAGTAGCAGCAGAAACACTTGTTTACTGGCCTTTGACTCCTGAGTTCTCTTTTTGCTGTCTCAATCCTTGAAAGGGCTATCTGCCTTTTTTCAATTTATTGACTGCATAGTGACTTTAAAATATAGGAATTTCGTCTACTTAAAAATGTTTCTCTCCTTTTAAGATATCACTCAAGAGATGACAACAGACACTCAAGAACCAGATGCTACCTTACCCTTGGTGACACAAGAGCAGCTTGAGGTTCCTAGAGGCAGTGGGGAGCCTGAGGAAGGCAAGACATCCCTCTCTCCTGTGCCTGACGCTGCTGGTACCACTCAGCTGTCCAGAATATGGGAGTCTTTGGCTACACCAGCCTCCACCACAGCCATCCCTTTGTCCCTTGAAGTTACTTCTGCTGAAGGTCTGTAGGGGAGAGCATGGACTTGGTGTTTGGGGGTGGCGGAGGATCTTTTCTGTGAGTTACACAGAGTGAGGCAGCTGGCCCTGTCCCCATTCTCAGTATACACATGCACCCTCTACCTGGAAAGACAATCAGTTCTCTTTGCTTCTAGAGATGAACTACATCCTCAAAGGACAAGGGTGGTGTCACTGCTGGTCCCCAAGACCAGGCTTCCTGAGAAGTCCCTCCTGGGAACCAGGGGAGGGGAGGGAAAAGCAACAAGGACTTGGGTTTGAAGTTTACCTTTGCCTCCTTCTAGGACTGTGACCTCAAGCAAGTTTATGAACTTTTGTAAGCCTCTGTTCATTTCTAAAAAAATGTGTACTCAGGATATTGTAAAGATCTGAAATAATTTGTGCAAAGGGCAAATTATGTAGTAGGTTGTCAAATGTTCTGCTTTCTTGAGGGCAATGAGGCTTTAAACTCTGGCTGGTTATCAGAGTCTCTTGGGAATTAAAAAAAGTATTATTTTTGCCTTAATGTTTCTGACTCATTATCTAAGTAATGTCTACTTTTATGTATTTTTTTATATAAGTTGTTTTTAACTTTATAAGAGAAATACTGTGCCATAGTTGAAATTTTTGGAACTTAGAATTTTTACTTACTATTCTGAGATGTAGCTTGTTGGCTCTGACCCCTGTCTTAACATTCCATTATGGAAGACCATCTCATTATTCATCCAGTCTTCATCTGCTGTGCTGGTGATTTGGTGTTTGCATTTGGGCCATTTCCAGATTTGACCACTGTGAACATTGCTATCGTGAACATTCCTGTACATGTTCTCCATTGGACATGTAAAAGACTTTCTCCTAGGTATATACCTGATATCAGGGTTGCTGGTCATAGGGTATATGAGTGTTTGAATCTGGGAGCCAATGCCTCCTTTCCAAAGTGACTGTACCAATTTATATTCTCACCAGCAGTACATGAGACCCTGTAGCCTGGGAATTTTTAAAGAACATTTTCTCAGGCTTCATAACCAGAGATCCTGATTAAAAGGTGGGACTGTGAAAGCATGAGTCTGCATTCTCAAAGAGCTTCCCGGAGAGATTCTGATGGTCTGTCAGGTTGTCAAGCTGTTACTGTCCTAGATGTGGGAAGTACAGCGTTTTATTTTGATGCCTTGTAATTGAGCTTATTCTAGGCACAGACTTAGACTCTGATTTTTCTGACTTGGGGACTCATTTTGTTCTTTCCTAGTAGTCTCTGGCACATACTTGAATACATTTTCTGCCTTGGTGATACCCTATACAAAACCCTACGCTGTTCATTATATTGTCGAGAGAAGAGATGGGAGTTTAAACTTTAAAAAAAATCATGATGGGAGGCAGTATATTTTCCTGGGTGATAAAGTGTTTTCTGCATGTACCTGGGTTGATGTGGCACAGAAAGAAAGTTTTCAGCTAAATTCTGAATTTGCTGTGTGTAAGATAGTGGTTTCTTGCCTAAAAACTGGAATTTTGTGTTTACATTTTCTGTACCGATTATTTTGTGGGTCAAGTTCTATCTCTTGTGTTTGGCAGACCTACTGGACACAGTCACGGGGCCAAATGAGGAGTTCATACCAGTTTTGGGCTCTCCAGTGACATCCTCTGCAGTGACTGTGGAGGCTCCCACCATTTCCCCAGTGCCTCCTTCTGAAGTCAGCCACTCCAATACTGCCTCCTCCTACGGCCTAGAACAACTCGAATCCGAAGGTATCCTTGTCACTGACCATGTTTTTGAGAAACAACTAAGTAGATGTGTTTTTAACATGGGGTAAACTGGCCTAGTCAAACCTTGGCTGCCACTGTTTTTCTGTGGCCTATAAGCTAAGAATGGCTTTTACATTTTTAAGTGTTTGGGAAAAAAAAAAACCCAAAGAGAATATTTTGTGGCATGTATAAGTTATACAAAATTCAAATTTCATTGTTCATAAGTAAAGCTGTATTGGAACCCAGCCATGCGTGTTCATTTTCATGTTGTCTGTGGCCACTTTTGGGCCAAAGCAGCAGAACTGAGAAAAGCATTTATAATATGGCCCTTTACCAAGCAAGTTTACTGACCTATGCAATGTGTAAGCATATATGTATGCAATCCTTAACTATAGTTGGAAACATTGAACTCATTTAGAGAAGTTTTAATGAATCCCAACACATACACATATACATGCATATATATATGTATGCATAGGATCCTGTATGTATGTAATCCTTAACCACAGTTGAATATTGGAATCATCTTGGGGAGCTTTTTAATGAACCCCAGTGCCTGAGGAGCTTTCCCAGTGATTTCAATTAAGTTGACATGGGCAGGATCTGGCACCAACATTTAAAACGAATGTCTTAGTTGATTTCAGTATTTAGGCTGGTTAAGAATACAGGGTTTAAGTGGAGAACTTGAATCTTCCCCCCACCATATTTCTCTGGATGGAAGTTTAAATGTGTATCACATTTTTATAACACCACTCAGTGCTGGGTTGTTCTCCTTTAGTAACATATTTGGTTTGCCATGTTCCATTATCTAGAGATGGATTCTTTATTAATGAAAGCTGAGAAATTCATGCCAAATTTTACTTACTAAGACATTGGTTTTGAGCATGAAAAAGATAATGGGTACAGCTGCCTGTCAGCAAACAAGACTAGAGGTGTGACCCATGGGTATGTGATTGCTGGAGTCAGCATCTTGATTGCTGAAGAGTATCTGGCTGGAGGTGCAAAATGTTCAGAGGTCTAGTAGCCCCTGTGCTAACCCAGAACACAGGGAAGCTCTTGTGCAGCTCTTGGGCAGTCAGCCATGTATTCGATGCAGTAAGGACCCAAGATGTGCTTGGATTTTATGTTTTCTCTACTGCAGGGAAGGTGGTTCAGCTGGATGTATAGGAGATTCTTACAGACTTTTAGGGTGACTTTGGTAATCTGTTCATTGAGAAATACATTTTAAGAGTGGCTTGGAGAAGTCAACAGTGGAATGATGGCTTAAGGAATGGACCAATGTGAACCCAAAGGCCAACACCTCTTGCATAGAACACAAAGACAGATACCACGTGACTTTGAGCTTAGTGCCTCTTGTCTGTCCTCCTGAATGTCATCTGGAAAACTCAGGTTTCCTCAAATTAACCTGAGATGGAGATGACAGCTTTACTTGGCAAAACTCATTAAATAAAATATATATATATATATATAATTGTGAATAATCTACACTTGTGAAACTATAGTAATTTTCTAAATTCAGTAGATGGTGGTAGTTGTATTGAAATACATTAGAACTTTCTTGATATGCCTAAGATATGCTGGAGTTTGAGTTA